CAAAGCACGCCAGTCGTTTCTCCTCTGTGCCAACTGACGCCAATTGGAAACGCCAAGTGAAGCCAAGTCCTTCTCCACCTGATCTTTCCATCGCAGTGGAGGCCTCCCTCTCCCTCTGCTACCACCAGCGGGTTCCGAGTTGAATACTTTCAGAGCTGGAGCGTCGGTGTCCATTCGAACGACATGACCAAGCCAGCGGAGCCGCTGTATTTTAATTCGCTGCACTATGTCCATATCGTTGTAAAGCTCATACAGCTCATCGTTCCATCGTCTGCGGTACTCGCCGTCGCCAACGCGTAAAGGACCGTAAATCTTCCGCAAAATCTTTCTCTCAAACACCCCAAGAGCCGCCTCATCGGATGTTGTCATTGTCCATGCTTCTGCGCCATATACCAGCACGGGCATGATGAGTGACTTATAGAGCGTGGTTTTCGTACGTCGAGAGAGGACTTTACTCCTGAATTGCCTACTCAGTCCAAAGTAGCACTTGTTGGCAAGAGTGTTTCTACGTTGGATTTCAATGCTAACGTTATTATCGGTGTTAATTCTGGTTCCCAAGTAAACGAAATTCTCTACTTTCTCGAAATTGTAACTGTCAACAGTGACGTGGGTGCCAAGGCGCGAATGTGCTGACATTCGCTTCCGCGGATGTTTAAAATTCCACATTCGCAACATCCCTATTATGTACACATATGTATTTTTTTAAACAAACTTTTTTGCTGAGAACTTATTCAAATTCCAAAAACCGAATGCCAACTTGAATTAAAGGAACCAACACTGAAGTGAGTCAAAATGAAAATAAAAGAGCACAAATTTCTATGTAAAGCAAAACTCTCGCAAAAACAGATATATCGCATAGCAAGGCAAAACTAGTTTGACTTAAGATAGGATTTTACCGGTAAAATATACATACACTGTTACATGTAACTTACCTGCCACAAAAAATGTTAATAAAAACGATTTTCCAGCAAAATTGTTTAGATAGAGGATTTTTCTCTTATAAAAAAAATGTTATTGCAGATAGTGGAATTTTAAAAATAAGAATACAATACCATTAAAGTTACATTTTAAGTTTGACATTACCCTGACGGAAGCTAGTGATTTTTTTTGAAATCAACTTATTGAAAGACTACTTTAAAACAAATGCAATGAGTAAATGTTTCGAATTATTATACTCTTTTTGCAAAAAAAAAAAAAACAATTTGTGTCTTGGAAGTATGAAAAAGCATCTGTGAAGCAAATTCATTTTAAAGTAGTTGAAAATACATGCAGGAAAAAATAATTGACTGCTTCCTAGGACATCGCCATGTTAAATAAATGAGTTCGTTGCAGGTAAAATAGTCAGAATTTCAATTAGTTATCATTGAAAATAAATTAGTTAATAAATGTCTTTAAAACTAATTCAATTTCCTGCAGGGTATTGCCATGGCTGAAAGATTAATCGAAGCTCACGTTGCCATCAAAAACTAATTTTCATCAAAATTGCAGATAGAGTGAATTGAATATAAGCCCTCGATGGGCAATGTGCAATTTAATTTCGAAAAAGTGTATGGCATATTCGAACTCTACGTTCGATTATAAGCAAAAATGGCGAGTAAACTAAGTATATACCAAAAATGTCGTTTGACCCTGCCAATTTTTAAAAGAAAAATCAGTGTATTATATTTTCTTCAGAACGAAATTAATTTTTAATTCACAAAAGTTTGTGTTTTCTTCATGCAATATACTACTTTTCCTTTTGAAAATTCGGAGGATCATCAGACTTCTTTTTTCCTTGCTGGAAGTGGTGATCTCCGAAATAGCTGCTATAACTTCTACCGCTTAGACTTTGTTGCTTTTTCAATTTTTCCTAATAAATAATCGTGGTACAAAGCTTAATAAAAAATATTAAAAATAAAATGTTAATAAGCCATAATAACATTGATAAGAACATTATAAAATTTTGGAAAATGGGCGTAGCCACGCCCACTTATGGTTATATGTGTATATCTTGGTAACCGCTGCACCAATTTCTTCCAAACTTGGCACAGTTGTTGGCCTTATTACAGCATACCAAATTACCGAAAATTTTTAAAATCGGACAATAACCACCCCCACATCCCACATAACGGTAATTTAGAGAAATACAGAATTTCGATAAATCAGTAGATATTAAAGCTAATTTATTCAAAATTGATGCTTGTAACAATCCTTTCCCAAGAAACACGTTTATGATAAAATTTTGGAAAATCGGCGTGGCACCGCCCACTTATGATCACATATATGTGTCTCGGTAACCGTTCTACCAATTTGTACCAAACTTGGTATGGTTATTGTGCTTGCCATATAAAAGCAAAACGTTGAAAAATATTGAAATCGGACTAAAATTATGACCGCATTTTACATAACGGTAAATTTCATAAATGCTTGAAACTTCAATATTTCGAAATTTAAGGACGCTAATTTACTCAAAATTGATACACCCGGCTTACCATGTAGCGGTAGCTTTCGGAAAGGTGGAAAACATATATTTAATACTTGCGCCGGGTATTTAATGTTCGGCTCCGCCCGAACTTAGACTTTCTTACTTGTTGGTATACAGTTTGCTCGTAATTTCGGCGTACAATTAATCGGTGAATTTGAATTTGCTATACACTTTTCTCGAAAATTTTGCTCCGATCAAATCACTCCGCCCTAGTGGTCATATTTAATGTATGTTCTTCTTCTTCTTTTTTGGCGCTGTAACCGCCTAAGCGATTTTGGCCGAGTTCAGCAAAGCACGCCGTCGTTTCTCTTCTGTGGCAACTNCCGCCTAAGCGATTTTGGCCGAGTTCAGCAAAGCACGCCAGTCGTTTCTCCTCTGTGCCAACTGACGCCAATTGGAAACGCCAAGTGAAGCCAAGTCCTTCTCCACCTGATCTTTCCATCGCAGTTGGGGCCTCCCTTTTCCTCTGCTACCACCAGCGAGTTCCGAGTTGAATACTTTCATCGGTGTCCATTCGAACGACATGGTCAAGCCAGCGGAGCCGCTGTATTTTAATTCGCTGCACTATGTCCATGTCGTTGTAAAGCTCATACAGCTCATCGTTCCATCGATTGCGGTACTCGCCGTCGCAAAATCTTTCTCTAGAACACTCCAATGGCCGCCTCATCGGATGTTGTCATTGTCCATGCTTCTGCGCCATATACTAGCATGGGCATGTTGAGTGAGTTATAGAGCGTGGTTTTCGTACGTCGGGAGAGGACTTTACTCCTGAATTGCGTACTCAGGCCAAAGTAGCACTTGTTGGCTAGAGTGATTCTGCGTTGGATTTCAATGCTGACATTATTATCGGTGCTAATGCTTGTACCCAAGTAAATAAAATTCTCTACTTTCTCGAATTTGTAACTGTCAACGGTGACGTGGGTGCCAAGGCGCGAATGTGCTGACTGTTTGTTTGATGACAGGAGATACTTCGGCTTGTCCTCGTTTACAACGAGAGCCATTCGCTTTGCTTCCTTATCCAACTTGGAAAAGGCAGAACAGACTTCGCGGTTTTAGTTACCGATGATGTCGGTGTCATCAGCATAAGCCAGCAATTGCACGCTCTTGTAGTAAATCGTTGCTGAGCGGTTCAGTTCTGCAGATCTTATAATATTCTCCAACATCAGATTAAAGAAGTCGCATGAAAGGGAGTCGCCCTGTCTGAAACCCCGTTTGGTGACGAACGGCTCAGAGAAGTCTTTCCCAATTCTGACGGAGCTGGTGGTATTGCTCAACGTCATTTTACACAGCCGTATGGGTTTTGAGGGGTTGCCAAATTCAGACATAGCGGCGTATAGGTAACTCCTTTTAGTGCTGTCAAAAGCGGCTTTAAAGTCGACAAATAGGTGGTGAGTGTTGATCCTTTTCTCGCGGGTCTCTTCGAAGATTGTGAATACTTGGTCTATGGTGGATTTTCCAGGTCTAAAGCCACACTGATAAGGCCTAATCAGTTCACTGACGGTGGGCTTCAGTTTTTCACACAATACGCTCTATAAGACCTTGTAACCTGTGCTTAGAAGGCTGATCCCGCGGTAGTTGGCGCGAATGGCGGGGTCACCTTACGCATCCGCCTTTGTGCAGCAAAAAATATGCGCCCGAATACGTCGAAAAGCTGCAATCACAACAGACAGCCAATGTATTCGCAACTCGACTCTCACACCTGCTCTCAGAGAGCACTCTTCAACAAACCGAAATTAATAGAAGACAAAAACACGTACAAAACAATAAGAAGTGACCCCACAAACACTCTCCAAAGAAAAAACACAAAGATAGTGGACGAACTTTACAAAGGCAAACACATCAACTTTAGAGAAAAACAAAAACTCACGTGCACGACAGCCACAGCGCCAAGACTTTATGGATTGCCAAAACTTCATAAGCTAGATGTTCCTTTTCATCCTATTGTTTCTTCTTTTATGGTCCCCTGTTATAAAATGTCAAAATACATCGGAGATGTTTTCAACNTAGTGGACGAACTTTACAAAGGCAAACACATCAACTTTAGAGAAAAACAAAAACTCACGTGCACGACAGCCACAGCGCCAAGACTTTATGGATTGCCAAAACTTCATAAGCTAGATGTTCCTTTTCATCCTATTGTTTCTTCTTTTATGGTCCCCTGTTATAAAATGTCAAAATACATCGGAGATGTTTTCAACAATTGTCAAAAATTGTTTGATGAGTAAAGCTGCTAAGTACAATCAGTTCAAATTCAACTGCTAAATCCAGCATATTGTGCTTCTGCCGCTCGATTATTGTTCTAACTTAGGGTATTACTTTATGCATTTAAGCCAAGGTAATAGCCAGTAAATAAGCTTAATTTTTTTATATCTCAAGGAAATTATTGTTACTTGTGGAACGAAACAGAAGGAAGATTAAATGCAGAAGAGTTTTCCAGCGTGTGGGTAGATTTGATAGAAAAAAATGTAGTACCAAATAATAGTTCCGGGGAGCCAATTACAGTAATTTTTTATAATTTTAAAGTTTCTTGAAGTAGGCCATACCTAAATGGAAGCTGATTGTATCCATTCCACTATCGAACGAGCACTTAAGAAAAGAGATATCCATGTTCCTGCAGAATACATTGAAGTATGTAGATCAGCTAGAAAAAAATCAAAACCATATGACGTAACTTATCTTAGTTACACGTTCTTTAAAAGCTTTAACACAGTTCAATTCTTTAATAGAATTCGTCCCGGTCGCGGCACAGGTGCTGCTAAATTAACTGATAAACGTGCCCTACGGTATACACCAAGTGGCGGCAAACATTTCAAACTAAGATTCTCCAACGAATGGGAAGTAATACCGCAAAGAAAATCCCCAGTAGCTGTTTCCTTGCCGCTTTCTCACCTTCCGAATTTATACGAGAGTAGGCGTACGATTGCTCGCAGAAAGTATGAGATCTCCAGTATTTCAAACGATTACTTCCTGAAGATTACCACGCCTACTATGGCAATTTACCCCATGATTGAATAATATGTATCATACTTTCTGGCATTATTGAGTTCCTACTTAAATTATCTTATATGTGGACTTTGTACTATTAATTTGAGAGAGGAATACTTCACGTATAGTTACTAATATATGTGTTATAAACTGCCTATTTTTGTTGCAATAAACGGAAGAATAAATCTGTTGTATTATTTATATATTAGATTGTTTTTATCTATCTATTTTAATTAACATTTAAATTGAGCTCGTAATCACAAAAAATAAAATGGAAACAATTTTATTCATACAAAAAACCTGCTAAATCCACTTCAATTTTGAAAATACAAAAACTAAAAACTGGTAAGTTAGAAATTCGCCAATAAAACCATAAAAACGTAATTTTTTTTATTCTTTCTGGATTAGGGCCATAGAACGTCACGCGATTAACAAACTATATGTAGGTTTTGACCTTTAGACTAAGAGTTAAAGTTATATTTAGTTTTTTGCCTCTACAGTAAAATATGTTTTTTAGTCGTTAGCAGGTTTACACTCTAAGGCGACGATATTTTATGTTACTACTCAAAATCATATTTATTTCTGAGCATTGTTAGAAATTTAAAAATTTATTTTTTTACTTTGCTTTTCTACTGCTCCGTACTTGCTTCTTTGGGGAGCAGCTAACTTTCAGTCCCGTTGGGCTTGTTCACAGATTTACCAAAAATGTTAGCCTCAAAAATCGTAATGAATAAATGGGACCAAATTCAACACAAAACTAATATTCCGAAAAATCAGTTCCAAGAAATGTTAAGTTTTTGCCTAAATGACAATAATTATTTCGTGTTCAACAAAAAACTATACTCGCAAATGTTTGGAATGCTTATGGGTATTTCTATTTCCCCAACAATATTGACATCAAATTTATAGCCAAATATGTGGACGACATCTTCGCTATAGTTAAACGTAATGACGCGAATATTATTCTATGGATTCTAAACAAGTATCACAACAAACTCCACTTTACGATGGAAATAGAGAAAAATTCAAAAATCCCTTTCCTGACGTTTGCATACATAAGGAAAACCAATATCTTTTACTTGACTGGTACTCTAAACCAACTTTTTCTGGACGCTTAATAAATTATTATTTATCACAACCAACTAAATATAAGATTAACACAGCAAAAAAACCTCATCCACAAAATATTGACGATAAGCCACACACGATTCCATGACGCTAACATAGAGAAAATAAACAAAATCTTAATATGCAATAATTATCCTGCTAAATATACACGAGAACTAATAAATCAACAAATTATGAAAAATAGCATTCATTCAAATACAACACCAAACATAGACACAACAAAAACCACAAAGAAATTTTACAGTGTAACGTATATCCCAACCTAACCGGCAACTTTGATCACAGCATAACTAAACCACAAAACACAGCACTTTCCTACAAATCCAATTACACTCTTCCGACAATATACACCAGAGGTGGGCACTACCACAAACAAGCGTGAGCTAAAAGTGAGAATGTGTTAGCGTATCTAATTCATTTTGCATGCTGTCGCGTTCTCGTCGTTACGCTCTCGCTTGTATACGTACACGCGATGCTTACGCTCTTTTAGCACCTCCCTGCAGCTATTCAGACTCACCCTAGGCTAGCCCTCAGATAGTCCCTATTGTTACCAGCACTAGTCCCTCATAATTCCCCTGCCAATGGTTTCAACTGCCATTTTTAGCATTGGCGTGTCATTGGAAAAGGACTGGTCCAATCAACACTGACCGTAAGATAGTCCTGGACTAGTCCAATTTCGGAGATTTTTTTCGTTGGAGTAAGATTTCGTTCTGCACTTCTCAGATGCTTTTTCATAATTCGGAAACACAAAAAAAAAAATTTTATCATTTTATAACCATGTTACTTCTGACGGCATTTGAACCAGGACCCTCCTGAAAGCTAACAAATAGTGGCAAGCATCTCTGCGCACTGAGCTACAGCCACGCATGTAAATGTGTGTCAAATTTTCACTTTGCATCAAGGCCAGACCAAGCGATTGGGACATTTACAGGGTGGTGTTCTTAAAATTTTTTTGTATTGAATTGCAAGACAACACCAACCTGTCATTGCCAAACTGCACTTTTCGTCTATCTCAAGGCCGGTTCCTTGGAGACTGGTCGAAGGCTGACATTTTCGATGCAAGCAAATGTCCAATTCTGACAAGTCAAATTTTAACCAGTGAAGTACTAGTCCTTTACGGAAAATTGGCCGCCTTATTGCTGCAGGGCTGCTAAGTCTCTGCCCATGCCTGATATACACAAAAACAAAGTGCCCAGTAGATGTCTACCAACAAAGCGATGTAGTGTATGAAATTAAATGCAAAGGAAAGGAAAATAAAGAATGCGGTAAAGTGTATATTGGGACAACCAAGCGGCCTTTAGGTGTGCGATTAGGCGCAAAAGTTATTGACAAAGAAAAAAGAGAGTTAACCCGATATCACTGGTCGACGGCCAAAATTTACCAGAGACGCCGTTATGAAATTCGTATGTAAAATCACCCCCTGATTCCGAAAATCAAGGTTATTTTTAATTTTATGGTACCGTTTTTGAGATATTTGCAATTTACCGTTTTTGCAAAAAAAAAAAATTGGGTCCACTTAATCATATATATCTCAAGAACGAATTAAGCAATTCCAAAACGGTTTGAAGCTTTTAAAAGGTAATAAAATTTTCTATAAGCTGCGCATACAACACTTTTTGCTAGGCCCTGTAGATTCAAAGATAACGAACAATCATTACCGATTTTTTCAATTTTTTTTGTAAAAATATAAAAAAAAATTGTACTTTGCGGGGAAGGACCTCGAAAACCTTTTATTTTTTTGCAGATATCTTTTTTCTCCCTAAGCTCTGTTATATTACAAAAAAAATAAAGTATCATCGAAGAAAATCGATGCAAAACTACGTAAGTTATAAGCGATCAAATAAAAATACCCAGGTTGCGTAATTTCAACGTATACCTCAAAACGTATGTATGGTATAAAGAAGAGTGAAATATCTAGCTATGCTCTGTTTCTATTGAGTTAAAAGTTCAATTTATGAATGAAATTACCCATATTTTTAACTTTTTTTTTTAAATTTATTTATGTTTATACTATATTCTAACAATCTTTATCTTAATTTGATTTTACTATGTTGTCGAAATAATTATGTGTTCTACTTTGACGCTTATTCAGTTTAGGATCGGTTTCTCTTATGAGAAACCAGCAGTAATCACCCATCATTGCGACGTCCCAGAATCCTTGATATCGATTCTCAATTAATTTCATTTGCTGATGAAACCTTTCGCCATGTTCATCACTTTCGTCGCCACGATTTGCCGGAAAAAAACTCAAATGTGAGTGGAGAAATAAAAATAACCTTGATTTTCGGAATCAGGGGGTGATTTTACATAAGAATTTCATAACGGCGTTTCTGGTAAAGAGAAAAAGTTGAAATTTGTGGTCCAGTGTATTCATTGGAGAGCCTCAGAATAATGCAAAGGAGAGAAAAGACTATGAACAGAAAGGAAGATACAGACGACATTGCGGCCGCATACATTTCATGTTTATGATTATAAACTAACTTTTAGTATTGACAAAGTTACCAAAAAAGATGGTATAGATTATTAGTATTTAGTGTTCAATAATTCGTATGTGTTTTATGTACACTTAGGTCTCTTTTTATGCGGTACATGCGTTCCTCAGAAAGCCGCATAAAAAACCGCATAAAAAAGTTCTTTACTTTCATACAAAAACAGGGGATGCGTTCCAGCATTTTCAAAAACCGCATAAATTCAGATACTCCATGTAAAAAATTCTAATAAACCGCATAAAAAAATCCAGTNACAACAACATTGACAAAAAAAAACTATTTATTTCTTCACTTCAACACTTATTATTCCATGTAAAACCGAACATTACTGAAATAAATGAAATTTTATCTGTATTTTAACCAAAAAATAATAAAAATACCACAATAAATACATGAATTATGTAAAAATACATACAAAAAAATTTCAAAAAAAAAGGTTTTTTCTTAACAGCGGTCGCCCCTCGGCAGGCAATGGCAAACCTCCGAGTGTATTTCGGCCATGAAAAACAACTTCTCGTAAAAATACAATCGCCAGTCGGAGTCGGCGTAAAACTGTAGCTCCCTCCCCTTTGTGTGACAACATCAAGGCGCACACCACAAATTGGAGGAAAAGCTCCACTTATGTGTAAGCGCCAATCTTTTATTAATATTATTATGTAAGAATACAAAGACAAATTATTTATCAGAAGCATTGTCTTTTACACACTGAAAAAAGTAATAACAACTCTCCAAAAAGCAAAATCGCTACTGTGAAATAATGGTCTGAAAACCCGCATAAATTCAATCCGCATAGAAAGAGACCTAAGTGTATATGTTTTTATGTTTCCATTTATAATTTTTGGTTATAATGTGATTTTTTATTTTATGGTTCGTGACAGATTTAATTAAACGGAATTGCCCCTGAAGAAGCTAAAAATGTTTTAGCGAAACGTTGGGCCAGAACGTGAAATAACGTAGTTTTATTTGCACAAAACACTTAGATCAGACCAGCCTGGTAACATACAATTGAATTAATTATCTTTTATTAAAAAAAAACTAAACTTTAAATCGGTTCATATTTGGGCTCCCAAAATTGATTTGTCCACATCAACCTTTTCAAAATCAAAGATTGGTGTTGCCTGACATTTCGATATTTGGGGCGACTATGAATTCAAATTTCGCTCGAAAACTTCTGTCTATTTGACAGAAGTGCAACTCTGAGAAATCATGACGTAAATTAATTTTGGTTAAACAAATGTCAAAAACTTGCGTGCATGCGTAGAAAAACTCTCGCCGTTAATATTAGGTTGAGCTGCCAGAGGTAGTTAGAGAGTACGATTGAAGGTGTTGAAATAAAGTGTTGAGGTGATTCCACCTCACGATCCTCTAAGCAGCTGCGGCATCAAGTCATTAAATTTGAGACTAGAAATTAGT